GCGCAATCACAAAATCAATGGCGTTCCTGCATTCCTGTGATTGTTTATATTCATTCCATTCTGATTAGTCTTCATTCTATTTTCTCTACATTCTATTCGTACACAAAACCACTATACTACCATAGTAATTCGCTGTTATTCACACGGTGTAAGTGGTGGCAACTGAATCCACCATACTTCCGCGCTCGGATCATAGTTGTTCAACTGAGTTACACACAGCTGAACTATATACCTACTACTTTTCCTTGGAGGCCAGTATTCAGTTACGCGCTGCAGTTTTCGTGCTTCGCTAAATCGGCTTTGAAGTTGATTTCACTGCAAGTCAATTGTCTTCACCTGTTGGAGCCACCTGAGAGTCGTTTAGGAGCCAGTCTAGTTACATACTTCGGACAATTGCTTGGCATGTGCGATTGCTTGTACCAACGAAAGTGGATGTTTATTGGAATAAATGCCACTCTATAGGAACATAAACAAGTTGTTTGAACTTATTTTTCAATTTTTCAATTTTTCTATTGTTAGTCACGATCTTCTGAGCTAACTAATAACATCCATACAAGGCGAATTGCTATAGACCCATTATTGAGAGAACAAAGATGCCGGACGCAAATGACTCAGCTGCTGGATAGGGCTGAATGGCAGGTGTCTTTTGCTTTTATTTATAAAAGTAGCAACAAAATGGTTTACTACGGTGTTGCTTTGTGTTCATTTTATCTACATCATAAGCCCAAATGCGTCGTGGAAGTGATGTTGAAACTTTCTAAGAGACTAACACACATGGATGCAGGTTCCAAGTAGACTACTCCATAATTGGCCGGATCACTTGCGAATTATTGCTTACTCCTGTTGGGAACACCGGGTGAGCAACGCTGAGGTTAGCCAGTTGGCTTTCGGCAACAAGCCTTCTTGTACCCCACTCGAGTGTTTGCTATCTCTTAGTCGTTTGCTTTGGCTAGGCCAAATTCTCCGTACGTATTTTGACCGGCTTCCTCGACGTACATTATACGCTGTGACTGCACCAAGTTGGGCAAAACCTTGAGTTGTCCAATCCATAACGTGGCATCGAGGCATAAAGAAATTGACTGAGAGACTTGACCACACTGGTGCATACCGTCTTCCTAAATGGGGGACTAGGGACGGTCCACACAAATGGTTGGAGACGATGTCAGACATGGCGTAGTGGCGCCGTGACATTCGCACATTCGGTCTCTTGCGTCTAGTTGTTAATTTTTGTTCCATCCCGATTAGTCTAACCCACGATCTTCTTGCTTCCATTTTCTTCACATTCTAATTGCATTCAACCCCACTAACTTGCGATGTGAGTCGTGGCAACTGGATCCACCGCACTTCAGTGATCGGGTCATCGTTGTTCAACTGAACTGAGCTGAACTGCTTTTATCGAAACATACTTCCGCGCAAATTTTTCTAACAGTATGTATCAATCGACTGAATCGAACGCGCTTTCAAACTCGAGTTACGCATCTTGGATCGTAGCGGTCCACCAGCTTTCCTTTCCAATACACAAACTGCTGTATTTCTCACCTGATGATACTCCATCTGGTTGCATTGTAATCAGAACCCGTCGAAGATTTTCTTCTGTTTTCCCACACTTCCACCAATCTCTCGAATATCCGGTGGCTCTTGCAGTGGTAATCGATAATGCTACAAGCATAGACTTCCACCTCTTGCATGACAGTCGGGGTCCTATTCCACTGAAGGTCAGTTTCACCACGGTGAGACCGAAAGTTGGGTACGCAGCGCATCCTAAGTGGCTTACTTCGCCGAGGGCTTTGATAACTTCTCAGTTACCAATGGATGGTGTCGCTTGCTCTGCCTACCAGTAGAGATAATGGGAAAACGACAGCACCAAAACATGATCAACGGCACATATTCCAGAGCAAGTGACATTCCAGCATGGAACCACACCACCTGTAATTTTTGGCAGTGTGATCTATTTCGGTCAATCTCCGGCCAGCTATAGGGGGACGCCTAGTTGCACTTCGCTGCCCACTGGGTGTAAAAGCGGTATTGCCAACAAACAGTCTGTGCTCCGCACACTTACAGGAGATGACCGCCGTTGTCCGTCTGGTCGGAGTTAACTCCTAGCCGAGTTCCCGTGGACCTACTTGCGCATTGATATCCTGTACATCAGCAAGGATATCGTAACTAGTACCACTGCGTAACAACATATTCAATTCGTGCTAGAATGGTGTTCTTGGCGGCATCAGAACTGCAGTTGATGTGCGCATCAACGGAAGCCACAAACAAACAGCGTCCAGTATTATTTCGTAAATCACTCTTAGTTGATGTAGTCAAACGGACTGCACGCAAACGGTTGCTCACAGGAATCCAATCAACCAACAATAACTGGGCCTTGGAACTGAGAACGATGTTCACCCCAACTTGACCGGTTGTTTCTGCGTTCATTGTGACAGTTGTTGCTCCATTCGATATCCAGAGCATTGCTACGGTTGCGTGGCAACTCAATAAACAAACGGTTGACCAACTTGATTATAACACGTTTTGAAATAATTCTTGTTTATGTGAGAAAGTTACACCCTAAACTGCATCTTAACCTCCGTTAATAATGTATCACCGATGAAGCACTATTTAGCCGATAAAAACACCTAAGTCCTCAAATATCCTTCGGTTCTCTTGTTCTAGCTTAGTGCTATGTTTTTCTATTTCCCCATAATCACGTTGACTCCAAAAAATTCTTATTTTGCACTCGTGGAAGAAGTATAAACACCAAAGGCAGGTCCCCTGCAAAGCACCTAGGAAAGCGATATGCAAAATCGTTTCGCACGGTGTGTGGAAGTGTGCGAAAATATGTGGGCTCTGTGGTGTTTTACATGTAAGACAGCCATCAATATTTGCGCATTTAGGTAGGGATTCATCACATTTACACTCGACCAGACAGCCGTCATATACCCGGAGAAGCACTGTACGGCTGTTTTATCCTTTCCGGAATGTCAGCAGTGTGCATTCCATCTAGTCCCCGTAAGGTTCGAACCCGTAACTCGACTGTTACCAGTGTAGTGAGGACTACTGTGCTACGGGGGATGGTAACCACCGTCTTAACTGTTACCATATGTGATATAGCGCCGCTCACGTTATAATATACTGTTGTACCTACGACAGGTTAGCCCCCTCAGCAAGTGACAAAACTAAACTGTCAATTAACTTGTGGCATTATAATCATTTTGGTATGCATACTGATTACAAATATGTTGTAGGGGGAGCCGTATGGCATAGGTAGGGTTTCTGCATATACCATTAAATCGCCCCTTACTACGCCTTTGTTTGCACACTTATTTACTTATGAATAGGGGACTTTTTGCTGTGATTTATCAGAAGTTCTTCACAGTAGCTTCCAAATCAAACATCGTTCCGAATGTTTTGTGAAGCACTTGGGACTGCATTTTCGTTCTTTCAAGGCTCAGTAGTGAACATCTCTCGGCCCTCTGAAGAGCCGGGCCTATTACCTATCTACACTGACATCTTGGATGCCACTAGGCCATGCGCAATGACAGCAAACCATCATCCGGATACCTGGGAGACTGTCTGACTTGGTAGTTAACGCGAATAACCCTCGATAACTTACCAATCAGTTGAGAGTCCGTCGCAGCATCTACGAGATCAGTTATTCCTCTATATGCGTGGAAGAGCACTATACTAACTGACCCCAACTGAACCCATGATCCATCATACAAGCCAGCGGTGAATGGCACATTCTTTTGCTTAATTCATCATATGGCTAGTTTCGCTTAGCTCACATCTGGTGGGAACACCGCGTGAGCAACGAGCGTGTTTGACGCCTTGTTTACGGCACAGGAAAAGGGAATGAACTGCTCAGCACCGTTATTTCCCGCACCAGGCTCCGATGGCTCGGCCACGTGTTACGCATGCCAGCCCACCGACTCCCGCGACGTGCGTTGTTTGCGCCCCGCGGGTGTGGATGGAAGAAGAGGAGGGGTGGCCAAGCGATGACTTGGTCGAGAGGAATGAAGGCCCTCACTTCTGAGCTGACCTCGGTTGGAGCGTCTCGGCTCCCTGGTTGGGGTCCAAAAGACGATGAACACGTTTGGCTGGACACACTTGCTGACATTGCAAGGAGCGGACCTCAGTGGCGTTTCTGCTGTTAGTTTCTTTGTCCCACCACCGCCTCCAACCACGATCTCATCATTTAGCCTTATATAATTTTGCATAGCAATTTTTCTTTTTGCCTAGTAGCCGGCTGGTAGATTTCCGGAACGATGCCCATCCGTTACCGGTAGCTCAGCCGGCTTGCACCAGTTGCTTTTTTCTCCTTTTTTCTGTGTATTGCGGCACAGTATCTGAGGTGTTCCCCACCTCTAGCTAACGTGTATGATGATGATGATTCGCTTATCTCTGGATCTCCGATTTTCAGACACCTAATAGGACCCTGGCTGTAGTAATTGCGTCCATCCACGGTAGTTTTAGTCATGCAAGCCTCTGATGCATCACCCCATTCATTATTGCGCCACCAACTGTCTTGTTTTAGAGCTTTAGGTTATGTGACGTGGCCGTATACTACTGATTTCAACCGCATGTCCAGTTGAGGGTATACATGTTTTTGGAGCTACTTGGAATAACCAACTCACTCACCTGCACTGTTTGCCGTTGCGGCGATTGTACAATTCCTTTTGCCTATGACGAATTCCATTCAAGGTATAGCGATTTGCCACCCATTCCTGTTATTTTCGACAGAATTTATTCATTGTTGACTTACACCAATTATTTTTAATCCGAAACTTTACCGAGCTTGCTTTTCCTTCACGGGTACGAATGCTGATACACGTGTTTCCTGTTTGCCTCTAGTAACGAAATACGAACGGACAGTCTACATCCATTCCACTTGGTTGAATCGCCAACTATTCAGACTCCAAGTGTTTCCCTACATATTTTTGCTTTTACTGAGTACGCTATATCCTTGTTGCGGAATTTGAACGAAAACTTTATCTGCAACTTTCCATGCACAGTGATTTGGCTGCTCGAAACTGCCTTGTTGGTGAACAGCGCGTCGTCAAAGTTGCAGACTTTGGACTAGCGCGTTGTATGGAGCGCGATCTTACCTATCAAGCCCATGAGGGCGCCAAATTCCCCATCAAATGGACTGCACCAGAGGGCCTGGTGTACAACACTTTCTCCGTCAAATCGGACGTGTGGGCCTTTGGTGTTCTGTTGTGGGAAATTGCCACCTATGGGAAGACTCCCTATCCCGGAATCGAATTGCAGGATGTGTACGTTTTGTTGGAGAAAGGTAGTCGTATGAGTCGACCGGAGGGCTGCCCTGAACCGGTGTATCAGTTGATGCTTCAATGTGAGTGCTTTCTTCTCTACCGATGCTTTCGTCGTATACCCCAATGCGAACTTAAGGCTACTTGTTACCTGATCCCTACCGCACGTTGTGGTGGCCAGTCTGCACGTATCGACTCACCCGCGCAGTCCATCGGGCACTGTGGCCATCTCCGCCTCACCTTTGTACTCATTCGTTTCTTTGAGTTACCCGTCGGTAGTGTGTGTGTGCCGTTTTGTCTGTAGCCGGCGTCAATTGCGCTCCTTCCCGTGTAGTCCTCAATCACCAGTTTACAATCGGGGCACGTAGTCTGAATTAAACTTTATTTTTTGTACCAGATGGATTCTTTCATCTTGAAGGCTCATCGCCCCTAGTTGCACTTAGTTCCACCTTTCCGAACTGACAACACGTATTTTACGCTTTAGACTGTTGCATTTTTTAACGACTATCGCTATTCCTTCGCTTCTTTTGCATGTACTTTCGGCCAGTGGCCGAAAGCATTGCGCGCCTGGCTTGCAACTGTTAGGTCTCCGGTTCTAATTCGCGTAGGGGTGGGCGTCCTCAACCCACGCGCCACCGGTGGTGGTCGCGTGGCAGCGAATCGTCGGTAAAGTGTGCAGGCGTACTGCTGATGGCTTTTTTTTTTCTTTCATGAACTTGATGGCTCAAGGTCGCATCTTCATCAGTCTACTGTTAACATTACTGCTGCGATCATCTGTTTCCGCCCGCTACGCTCCCCTTTCAAGCCTAGTCGTTGGTTCTGTCTTTACATTATTCAACCCTTTAAAACCACGGTTACACAGCTTCTGCCCACACGATGCGTATTGTCTAAGTTATTGTTATTTATAATCGTTCTGTGTGATGTACTTAGATTCAGCGTGATTCTATCGTTACACGGCATGCACATGGATGTGTTTGTGAAAACCTCCCACAACCAACACCATTGTGAAACTAAGGTTGGCTTATTTTTCTGAGGTCATCTTTTCATGACTGTTCTAAGGCCAATCGAACTGGTGTTTCCTCCTCCGCATGCGGTACCTCAATGCGAAACCATCTTTGCTGCAAAACCAAAATTATTCTACCTTAACCCCATGTCATTTCCTCTATGTCAGTAGCAATGCAATCGTTCGTAAGATCCTATCATCGCTGCATCTCCTGGAGTTGATCCGGGATCTCTCATCTATACACATCCTCTTCCAATCGTAAACGTTGTACTTTTTTAATGACGACAGGGGGATTGCATCTATGGAAGCAATTTAGATTTCTTCACACTGAGTAAGTGTTTATGACAGCTAAATCTTTCATACTACCAAATGGCATTTCGGTGGATAAACCAGTAACTGGATACTGTGTTATAGAGCAAGTAAAGTGAATTCTGTACAACTCTTTCGAAATATGGGGAAAACGTTCTAAAAATTATCAGCCATGATTATCATTATCGTTCTCACGTAGCATTTAAAATATCTGACTCACGGTATTGCAAGACTCACAGATGTCATCGTAAGTGTACAATCGTTCTCTGAATCGAATAGTGGTAAAATATAAATCTAACGTTTTGTACTGGTGCACAGAGATGTTGTCTCCATCACATGTTCAAGCAAACTGTTCCAAATATATCCTACTCCGTTCGAAGCACAGTGGGTGGGGAACTCGCTTCACATCCGGCACGACAAGTTTGTATCTCTGTCCGCGTGTGCTGCATGGCCCTTATAAGTGCAACATTGGCCTCAGCATGGGGAAGTCACCGAGATGTAGAATACGATAGGTACTAATGAGGTCGACTTACACCATCGACGTGCAAAGCGTTCCTCCAAGATTGGCAGGGATCGCCTCCTCCGCTGACTCTTGGTGGGGACCCGCTAGAAGTCGTTCAAAAATTCATTTACCTGGGAAGTTGTATCAGTGCCCTTGGGATCGAAGACGAGATCTCCAACCGTATAGCGAAAGCTCGAAGTGCTTTTGCTAACCTTCGCCACCTATGGCGGCGGCACGACATTACACTCGCCCTGAAGGGTAGAGTGTACAATGCAGCGGTACGTTCGACCCTAGTGTACGGTTGCGAAACCTGGCCCCTAAGATCGGCGGACATGAAGAGGCTAGTTACGTTCGACCATCGATTTGGCTCACATCTGGTGGGAACACCGCGTGAGTAACGAGCGTGTTTGACGCCTTGTTTACGGCCCAGGAAAAGGAAACGAACCGTTCAGCACCGTTATTTCCTGCACCCGGCTCGGTCACGTGTTGCGCATGCCAGTCCACCGACTCCCTCGACGTGCGTTGTTTGCTCACCGGAGATGTGGGTAGAAGAAGAGGAGAGGTGGCCAAGCGATGACTTGGTCCAGGGGAATGAAGTCCTTCACTTCGGAGCTGGCCTCTGTTGGAGCTTCACGGCTCCCTTGTTGGGGTCCAAATGACGGTGAATACGTTTGCTGGATACACTTGCTGACATGGCAAGGAGCCGACCTCAGTGGAGTTCGTGCTGTGAGTTTCTTTGTCCCTCCCCCTCCACCTACGATCTCATTTCTTTGCGTAAAACATAATTTATTTCCCTCTTTTTTACCTAGTAGCTGGCTGGTAGCTTACAGGAACGATGCCTATCCGTTGCTTGTAGCTCAGCTGGCAGGCAACTGTCATTTATTTTTCCTTTATGTATTGTATTTATGTATATATTCCCTTTATGTATTGCGTTACAATAGCGGAGGTGTTTCCCCACCTCTAGCTGACATGTATAATGATGATGAATGAGGTCGACTCGCACCTGACGTTAGGACAATGTGTGAAGTCCTAGTTTCTCGCACCGATCTTCATACCCCAATCCACGTAAAGTCGGGATGAGCTTGGTAGCAACGCATTAGACCTGTTCGATCTTTTGTGCCTCGCCTCGGGTAATCGGAAAGTGACGGAAGTTGTGCATTAATATAAGGCTTACTTTCAATGTTGCGTAGTTTCTGAATCCGGTTGACCGAGCGAGCAGGTGAGTGGCACCATTACTTGCAGTCGATGCGCTGGTATTTTCACTGTTGCACTGTCTATAATCACGGGAGCTAGTGATGAACCAGTGGAAGAAAAATCTTTGTGTTCCGAGCGACTAAATCCACCAACCTCCTACAAATGCACGGTTTATGTGGACAAGGTTTACTTCAAGCGTTCACGAAAGGCAAGAGTATTAGAACAGTTCCGTCAGTTACCATAGAATTATTTTGTCACTGTCTGCAGTCACCTTGGGGTTGGGGATCGTGGACTAGTGGATCTAGCAGCCTGATGCAAATCAGTAGGAGAGGGACGAAGCGGTGTTGAATCGGCAACAACAGCAACGCGGATAACTTATTCCACCCGTCAGGCGGCAACTATGTGATTCAATAAGCTATCAATATAGCCTTCATAGAACCAGTCCCCAAACATACAGCCCAGTCACAAAATTGTTGTCGTGCGTGCGTCATTACAATAGAGTGAAGTATAAGTGGGGTAGCAAATGTATGTTGAGTGTTGCTGTCCGGAAAACATTGCACTAGACGACCGGTTACGAACTTGGTCTCGTCATATATATATATATATATATATATATATATATATATATATATATATGGTTGGCGGCATCCGGTTTCGGATTTGCCCGTCACTGTGGCAAGCCACAGGACGCCTGCGCCTACAGAGGGACCATGGGTGGCTTGCGCTGCATCACCCACAGCTCCAACCACACACCCCATATCCAGTGTAAACCCGAAGGAATAAGACCGGGAGACATGCGGATATATATATATATATATATATATATATATATATATATATATATATATATACGGGAAGCTTGAGTACCGAGTGTGGAACAACCATCAGCTTAGCATTGGCACGAAGCTGATGGTGTACAAATCCATGGTTCTGTCCGTTCTTCTATACGGCAGTGAAACGTGGACGATGTACCGTCGGGATGTGCGATATCTCGAGCGGTTCCATCAGCAGTGGCCTCCCCGTGGCCTCCACGGGGAGCCACAGGACGCCTGCGCCTACAGAATGGTCATGGATGGCTTGCGCTGCACCACCCACGGTTCCATCCACACGCCGCATATCCAGTATAAACCCGAAGGGATATGACTGGGAGGCACGCGGATGGGAGCCTCGTTTCATTATCAGAGTCGGCCCACACTCCTTCACAGGCAAACCCAAGCACGCTGTATTTGGGGAATCAAGCGCACACAAGGTGGTGGCTGGATCGTATTCCGCTCCACACTGAATGGGACCACTCTTCTGGCGTAGTACAGCCACGCGGACCATGCACCCGTCCCCTCCAGCAACGGGCAGCTATCTCCTGGAATCAGTATGGATGCAGAGAATGCCAAAAAATGGCCAGTCACTTGAAATGACAATAACTAATAATGGTTATCGAATAGACCATACGGATATACAGACTTAATTCTTCGTTCAGTGATCATGTGCAATAGATTGGTTATCAACAAATCCGCGATATCTGCAAGGTGTCGGAATATATATTTTTTTAAAATGCAACACTTGCGAAAAATGTTAGCGAATTTAACCATAGTTTGCTAATGTGACGTGTGCAAGTTAATGGAAGATTATTCTGGCATAACTTAAGATGAGATACAAAAATATGCATTGGGACACGATAGCGAACCCATCACCTGAAATAAAGAGACAGCATGCAAGCACGCGGTTAGTAAATCAAATGAAACGTACCTAAAAACACTGCGTTGCTTTGCCTACGTTCTCTGTAGCACACGTCGCCGTTTCGGCGTTGCCCCGGTTGGCGTCCCTCTTGGCTCACTAGGCCTGCCTGACACCAAAAAAATGTGTCAGCTTATACGCCGTAACGGCGCTTCGCTGCCGCGCGACTGGTGGTGGTCGCGCGGCAGCGAAGCGCCGTTCCGGCGTACAGCTGACACTGCCTGACACAGGCACTCGCGACCGCATGTACTACAGCATCATGCGCTTATTGCCCATGGAGTAAAACCCAACGGTGCCTGTCACTTCCGCACTTGCCTCTTCTCTGCATGTATGAGGTCTTTCTCTTGCACTTCGGCAACTGCCTTCGTGATTAGATCGCGCCATGCACGCCGATCAACCGCCTTCGATTCCCATGACCTGTAGTCAAAATTTGGACGTGAGAGGCTCACTTTGATCACTTCCTGATAACGAAGCCTCGGTTTTCCCGCATGTCACTTTCCAGCACTCAGCTGACAATATAAGAGTTCTTTCGCTATCCTCGTTGAATCCATACGGCTCACATGACCGAGCCATCTCAGGTGTCTCAGCAAAAGTATGCAGTCCACTGCATACGTTCCACTTTCACGCAGCACTTCCGTGTCCACAACTCTGTCACGCCAACAAATACGTAGAATACGTCGCAAACACTGCTGAAGGAACCGTTCGAGATATCACACATCCCGCCGGTACATCGTCCACATTTCACTGCCGTATAGAAGAACGGACAACACCATGGATTTGTGCACCATCGGCTTCGTGCCAGTGGTAAGCTGATGGTTGTTTCACACTCGGGGCTCTAGCTTCCCGAATGCCGCCGCTGCCTTCGACACGCGGATACGCAGCTCACTGTGTAGCTGCTGATCAATCGACATCACAATCCCAAAGTAGCAGAAGCGGGAGGTGGTTTCCAATACTTCGTCACCAATGCTGATTCGCGGCAATATTGAAGATTGCACCTCCGGTGAAGGCTGAAAAAGACAGACAGTTTTGCTTTTGTGGATGATGAGCCCGAATTTCGCCGCTGTCGAAGCCAGAGCACTAGTCATATGCTGCAACTCATCCGCGCTGTATGCAAACAACGTACATTCTTCAGCAAATAGCAACATACGGATAGTTGTCTCACAGACTAGAGTTCTCGCACCGAAACGACGGATATTCAGCAACTCACTATCAATACGGTGCTCCACACGAACACCGTAAGCACAAGCGGCATCAAAAGCACAGGACAACATTGCATGAAGATATATATTAAACAAGGCAGTAGCTAAGACACAGCCTTGCTTCACATCCGAGACAACTTCAAAGTCATCCGAGGTCTCTCCACTCAGCTGCACCCTCGCTCGCATACCACTGTGCAGACATCCAATTAAACTTACAAACATACTCGGACAACCAAACTTACCCAAAACTAGCCGCAGTGGTTCACCGTATCAAATGTCTTAGTCACATCAACAAAAAGTGAGTACAATGGCTGGTGTCGTTCTCTACACTTCTGCAACTGACGAGCTGTAAATACAATGTCTATAGGGCCGCGACCCGATCGGAATCCACACTGCTCTTCCGCCACGTTAGGTCCCACAACCTGTCTGACGAGGCGGTTGAACAGGATTCGGGCGATCACCTTGCCCACACAACTCAGCAAGTTGATGCCAAGATAATTGGTGGCACATTGCTTGCTCCCTTTGTCCTTGTACAGTGGTAGCACAATGGCATCCTTCAGCTCAGCAGGCACCTCATCCTCAATCCACACGCGTAGCACCAAGTGGTGCAGGGCAGACAACAACGCGTCTCCGCCGTTTTTCAATACTTCAGGCGGGATCCCGTCGGCTTCGCCACACGTACCGGTTCGCAGCTGAGCAAGTGCTGTCTGCGTCTCATCCAGTGCCGGCCTGCCCGCCAGACTCGCCTTCACATCGTGTTGCTTGAGGCCGTTCAATGTAGGCCAGTCGATCTCTGAACGGTTGTTCAAGATGCAGTCGATGTGTTTACGCCAGATCTGCAGTCTGTGTGCAGGTAGCGCCTGAACTACCATCGATTAGCGTCCTCAGCAACTCCAACCTCGGTCCATTCACGGCCTTCAAGGATTAAAAGAATTCGTTGTTTGCGGCGTTCAACGTAGCATTCCACCTGCTTCGCCTCCTCCGTCCACCATGCATTTTCTGCGACGGAGCTCTCGAGTGAGTCGCCGTCAAGTTTATATATATATATATATATATATATATATATATATATATATATATATATGTATTACTTACCTGAACCCTTTGGCCATCGTGATTTTTAGTTGAGCCCTTGTTGGCTTCTTTTTTGTGTACTATTTGCATGTGATTGTATAACGGTGTACAATGTCAGTTTGGATCGAGGTTGACTTAGGTGTGTGTATCCCCGCTACTTCGGTCACTGTGACAATGTATCTGAAGACGTTGCTAAATTTTGTTCAAGGTTGCCCGCCACAACTTGGTGCTACATCGGGTAAACGCACTTACAGTCAGTATTCTAGTCACGAGTTTTGCTTTCATCTTTGCTATTTCCACCCAATGTATGCATGACAAGCAACACCACTCATGCTGTACAGGGTTTGGTACATGCAACGCCCCCATTAGATTTACTCTTTCAACCGGCTCCATCACGCACACTGTCTACCTCTTCGTGTTAAAAAGATGTTGCCTGGATATCCGTAGGCTCACTCTTCTAGCGGATCCTACTTAGGCGCGAGAGTAAAAGATCTGGTTTTTGTTACTATCTGTGACTGGCGTTTCTTAATATCCCCCTTCTTTGACATTTTCTCTCCTCATCTCCCCAGGTTGGCAATGGCTCCCTGATCAACGGCCCACTTTCAGTCAACTTCGATCTCAACTGGAAGCCATGCAAACAAGTGCCACCATTGAAGAGCAAGTCGCGTTGGAACTCGCCCTTTCCAACTCAGATAGAGTGGCGGTATCCAAACTTACGTCCACTTTCAGTCACCAACAGACCGCGGTGTTAGACCCTGCGAAGTCTACATCGATCTTTCGTCCTCCGCTCCCACCACGACCTCCGCCTCCACGGCGGAGTGCCAGCTTCGATCGTTTGTTGGTGGACGAGGAGCACAAGCAGCGATGCCACTTTGGGCAACTCGACGAATGCACTGAGTGTACCTACTTTTCATATGCTACTAATAGTAAAGTCATCTATTTATTTGTTACATGATGTCTATAGATGATACGTGGTTGTTGTGGAAATTTTATTAGGCATGGAGTCCTGCATCGCTTTCATGATGTGCACATTGCACATCACACCTGCTTATTCACAGCTTAATAGTTTAGTATACCATGATGCAGATCGGGACGAGGAAAGTCGAATCCTATGGATTAACGCTTTCTCTTTACTTCATTGCTCTGGTGAGAAGCGGAGAAGACGTGCTATCTCACAGTTTAATCACGTGGCATACTTTTCTAGTCCGTAACTCAACTAGCCCTCCACTCGGTAACATACAGATTCAAAATACAGTTGACCATCTTTATATTTTGACCACCACTCTTGTTTTATCCATTTGTTTCATTGCTTGGACGTTCACCATCTTGACATTATGGATTCAGCCCTATGTATATTGGCCACTTTTGTCTAGTCCATTGAGTGTAGATCACTGGCGACACGCCTTCATAGGACTTACCGATCACCCAACACTTGGATATGCACTAGCTTTACAACTGAGTGCAACTGTGGTTATTCTGGTTGGCCGCTTGTATCTATCTCTACCTGTTCGGTTTTAATTACGGGTTAGGCTCACCGTTCTGCTTTTTCTTGCTAGATTATCTTTCTCCCTATTCTTCAAAGACACGGTTATAAGATCACTACCACAGGACTTTTCCACCTGGAGTTTAGCTGCTTTCCGAACTTATTGCATTCCATAGAACTCGACATTTTTTGCATTCATCCGTCATAGGGGGACCGTATAACTGCATTTGGCCAGTATATACATATTATCTGGCGCGGCGTTTTCATTGGGATTTAGTTTTCATTGATCTAACGGACAGAGTCACTTTAAACTGGTGAACTACCGTTCGGCTTAAGAGCACTACGTTTGAATTATCGTATTGCCCTAATTGTTGAATGTTTCATAGACGCATTATGACTAATTCAAACCCAGTTAAGAGTGCGTTTTGTGCATGCATGACGGGCAAGTTTTCTGCCGTATTGCACATGCTACTGACATGATAAAAAGTACTTCAATAGCTACAAAAGAGCAACAAAAGAGAACAAAGAAAAATATAATCGCACTGGAAAAATATACTTGTTGGTTCTTGGATAATAGCGTTTCGCTGAAATAGAAATCTGGTTAAATAAGGAATTACCGGCGAGCCGTAAATCTTTGTGTGCACATATATTGCTCTGTACTTTGGTCTGGCCGATGTTATGCAGTTGGAGAGTGCATTGTGAAGAGGGTGGCTGATGTCGGTGAGTAATTTGGAGGCAGGTTGTTTTGCAGTAATTAACTTGCACGGAAACAGTTTTTTAGCCGAAGTCGATTTTAGAATTCCGCTGCAGCAAGACAAGTGCTTCACTGACCTAACAAACACTACAATGCTTAAAGTAGGCCTAGAAAGTCACAGGAGAGCAATAAATCCAGTGTGGTACAATGCATGCATTGGTGACCTCCAGAATCATATTATATGGTACCGAGGATGGTCGGAATCGAGCGACGTAAAACGAAAGTCGCCTGACTTTGATGAACGTTTCATTCACTTGGAGTATCCACGATAAATCGTGGCTCAGCGTGACTCCTTATACTTCACTGACATAGAGGAGCTTTCGCTATCGATCGGAAGTTCGGGATAGCTCGTGTCAGGTTCCCGATAACGAACCGCATTACGAAATAAAAACGGCATATCATTGCATTTGGGTGCGTACTGCGCCAAGTAGCGGGAGTTCAACCACTGCACTACCTCGTCCACACAACTTCGATGCTTGGTTGAACGAGTTAAGGTTAGAACATTTACGCCGTTAGTTATGTCCTCAGTATTTTCAAGCGAAATGGGATATTCGGGCTAGGTATGGATCAGATACACGTAGAGAATAAGGATGGCGACAAACTATCTCGCTGAAGTGCCAACAAGCTTGAGTATGTTTGGTGAAATAGCCATTTTATTAATACATATACTTCTCGATGGGGCCAGAGACTGTCTCTGAATTAGGCACACACTATTAGTACAAAACCACTGAAAGCCTGTGCATCTTACAACAGCAATTTGCAGTCGAATGCGTTTCTGTACTCGAGGAAGCAAACGTGTTTATTTGTTCTGACTGTTTAGCGCCGATAACACAGAGTGCACTAGACAATCCACATCATTTTTTGTGGATCTTGAAGGTCCGTAAACAAACTGATTTCGGTCATTTAAACAGCATTTTGCCGGTATTTTTCAAAAATATCAAAAGCGCTTAAAGTCATCAACTTGCATGCAACAAGCTAATATTTACTCGTCCCTTCTTTGGTACAAATATTATGCGTGCAATTCTATAAAAATCCGCGACTTCTTACTTTCTGCTTACTGTGCGCAACTCAGCTGGAGGGCTAAGGAATCCGCAGACTCAAAGGTGGGTTTGCAGTACCCGCTGTGTGGTTGGATCGCGACATGCAATCTCTATCCAGACCTCGGTTTACTTTAAACTGGACCATGGTTATTACGATCACAAGGACCGTATCCGGATTGGAGCTCCTCCGGTGTTGCTCCTCCCAACCATGACACCCCGTAACCTGTTTAGTCCTCGTTTGGACTCATCAGATGGAGATAGCCTGAGCTGGGGTGGAACTCGGGGCCTAGTAGTTAAAGGCTGACGCCTTGATCACTATGGCTGTAACATCTGTGAGCATCGCTTGGCACAGCGGTAAAGCATTCAAAGTTGGATTTGGAGCCAAACGTTGCCCACGGATCTTAGAGCCATAGTGATCAAGGTGGCAGCGTTTAACCACTAGGCCCCGAGTTCCACCCCAACTCAGGCTATCGCCACCTGATGAGTCCAAACCAGGACGAAACCGGTTATGGGGTGTCGCGGTTGAGAGGAGCAACACCGAACGACCTTCGAATCCGTAAACTGTTTGAGGACAACAGGAGGGAAATTTCAGTTTCGCATGTCTTGCCTGAGTGCAGCTGGTTTAGCTTCTTGTGCACTGTTACGACGTCGACTGGAGGCAGTGAGTCCGCAAACCACTGAAACGGTGCAGCTGATGAGTCAGAACATGGCTCACTGCTTGTTTAGCAGAACTTATGACCCAATTCTTCAACCTTCACGACAGAATTTGCACCATCTTATGTGACTCGGCTAAGTTATTTCACCATTCGCCAAATCTCACAGCAGTTGTTATTTCCCCACGGTGTCTGGACATTGACCTGATTTACCTGATGCAATTCTTTCTTAATACAGATAGAAAAGAATTTCACTGGAGCACGATCTTTGCTCTTTCTGAGTCTATGAAGGTTGATGAGGTGAATAAGAGCGATCAGCGCTCATGAACATGGTTTCAATCCGGCAGTAGAAATCATAACAGAAGTTCAGATAACTTATCATTTGGTCACAGTGTATTGTGACCTCTGTGCCAGAAAACAAAGTCTGTTGAGCCAACCATTTTTCTCAGTCGCGTAATGTTTTAAGAAAGGAGTTGTCTTCACTTCTACCTACGATCATCGTAGCTAGTGGCATCCGTGGTTTGTTTGTCAGTAGACAACAGGGGATAGCTTTATTATAGAATGATCTGAGCAACCAATTGGTACTTGATTGCCGGCCGAAAATACCTTCAGATGATTGATAAATATTAAATCCAGATTTACCTCTAACCTGCTACAGCATGTGAGAATATTCTCTAGGCTAAGATTTGTAAGGAATGTGTTGTCGAATCTATTGCAATCACTGGAAACTATACGCAGGGACTTGTCGATTTTTTCTAGATGACAACAGTCGCATACTCACGGCCAAAATTGTTAACCTCTGAGTTTGAGCAGCTGAATGGCAACAGTATCCACTGAAATCTTTCGGCTTACACTTAAGAACCAATCAGTCGCTGCATTGTGATGTGTTTCAGAATAAGATTTTCACTTATAAGCATCAAGAAGCGTTGATAACTTGATTGCACCGCCGCCGCGATTGTGCAAGGTGCATGGGTAATCAGCACGTAAGCAAATAAACCTTTCAGTTGCTACAGCAACGTCGTTACCATCTTTATAGACCTTTGTATCGTGCAGCATAATGATTCAAAGTTGTGCGTATTCATGACAGTTGATAATGCTTCTCCTGCAGCGATATGCTCACGCTTGTCAAGTTTTTCTTTCGGAAAGCAGCGCTCCACGCTTTTTAAATAGATTTTCCCGTTTTTTTTCCGATTTTTCTTATTTTATTCCTTATAGATCTATTATCGTTTCCAGTTTACTCGGAAGCACAAAACTATGTTAAAACATCACAGGTTTGGGTTGTAGAAAAAACGAGTTCTAAGAAAGTACCGTCGAAAGCGTTTGTCGGTAATTCCTTGAAAGGAAAATGTAGAGCACGGTAACATTTGAAGACCCCGCCGAAGCATGTTGATACATTCAGGTGACCATTAAATTTGGAATTCGGCACTAAATGTCCGATTCATCCTTTTGTGTTTTTACCTTTGTCGTATTCTATCCGACCGTGAAGCAGCGACTGGCGTTACTTGGGTCTCAAATTGTCTCCATATATTCGTCAGCCAACCATCCAGTTTATCCTTGATGCTATTTCCCTATATACCATCCTTCGTTCTCTTCTATCCATCTCACTACCCTATATCAGCGAGTCTAATATCTGAGGAAGGGCAGTTGGATTCTGGAGTCGGAGGTTCAAACCACCCTAATTCCAAAACTTCCCTTTCGTTCTTCATGGATCACCAGTCCAAATCAGGCTCTTTCCACACTCAGCTACCTCTACCTCAGGTTGTTATGAGCGATCTCGCAAGCGACCGGTTTGAACAAACTGCCGCTGTGCAGTCTTCCAATTCACTTGGACGGAAGCGTACCGCCCCCAGACCTCCTCGCCGGACAACTCCAGTGAAACCGTTCTCTTTTGACCAAATGGGTTTGGACGTTCCCAATGCGGAGGGATTGCCTCCCAGCCCGGTGTCTGGCTCATTTGTTCCTGATTCCGGCGACTTCTTCCCTCCTCCTCCACCTCCCGTTTCAGCGACAGATGATGAGTTGCGCATCATCGTCTCCTCCTCGCACTCAATCCCTCATCAACCCACCGTTTCTCTACCCATGCGCTCTTTGGCGCCATCAGTCATGAGCACTTCGGGTTAGTTTACTTTTGAATTACGGATGTCGGCCTTTGGCCTAAGGTAGACTAAATCGTGAGCAGCGCATCTTTGCCACGACTGTTTATGGCGTCAGTAGCAACACTTGTTTAATTCCAGTTCGATGCGAATGGTGCAACGGTTTAATTGCTCCTGTTGGTCATTGGGCTTCGCTGGTTCACACTTGTCGTCGTGCACCTCTATTGAGGCTCATTCCTTACAAATCTCTCGTTTGCACGTAGGAGACTATTAAAGTTATTTAGGGATTTTTCGATATTACGCGCTCCCAACACTGCACTGTTTGGACTCATCACATAGAGATAGTCAGAGGAGCAAGTCGAACTCGGTATTTATTCTTTGACCTCAGACCACTGAGATCCGTTGGACTGTACGTGTCGCAACTTTTATACATCCACCATTCGACTAAGGAATATCCTCCGTGTGTTTCGGTTGCAACACACCATCTTATTAAAGTAGACGTCGGTTCTTCCGATCACTTTGGACAAGGTCTCAGGGATCAGAATGATGGAGACCTACATTTATATGTCCCATTTCCAATCACACGACAGGTACTCCAAAGTCAACTAGTTCCAGTACAAAGAACTGGTCATCTAGCGTTTTCCCGGATGTGTGGGATACTTTAGCAGGAAGCTGATTCCGACAGACCATCTTTAGCTTAGATCTCTTTTTGGAGATCTCATTCTCGTCACCATTTTCATTGGACATTGCAAGCGGGAAACAACGTCCCTTCTTAACGGGAATCCATGATTTACAGTATACTTTGCTCTGTTTTACTTCTTACCGATTTGCTTACAAGCCTGTTATTCGGGACGGCCGTTTCGTCTTCTTGAAACTGGTCAGTGACTCCCATCCCCTCGATTCACTTAAGAGAAACTAACCCGACTGTCAGTTGTTCACACCACTAGCCAGTAATTTGTGCCACTGAGCCATGGGCGACGATTGCTACCCATCATGAATAGAAATCTAACTGGCTTGTAATCTAATTACGAATAAAGTAAATCTCACTAAATCCCTCTGATTCACGACTACTGTTGGGGCAGTCCTGACACCGGACGGCCAATCACTGTCCTCTGCACTAGTAATATGCTGAATGTCAGTGGCGGATGGCTTGAGCTATATGGCTTTTAGATTGCAATCCATAATGCTCAACTATCGCCCTCTATGACCGCTGGCAACTGGTGCAAGCAACTAACATTCATGGGTTAGGTTCCCTGGAGGAAACCGAGGGAATGCGCACCACTGACGAATCCCAGGACGAGTCGGCCGTCTGGTGCTTTTCCGGAATAGTAATTGACCTGTATGGCTTGTAATCTAATTACCATGGCCTAACATAATTCTCTCTCATTTACTCATGAGTAGACTTCGCTTTATTAGCCAGCTCCACTGACGTAAGACGCAATAATTGTCGTTTATCTCTGGCATTTTATGCTATGTCGTTCAACATTTTCATTCCAACTCACCGCTATCCCCTGCCTATTGGAACATTCATTTGGCGGATTCTCGGTTTTGAATCCTGGAATCCACTGACTCGTGCTACAGTCGTCTCGTACTTGGTTATCTTGACTCTGACTGAAGGCGCTTCATCTGGGCCTATAGCACATTCGTCACAACACTGGAGGTAGTCTGGTTCTTTGAATTTCCCACATTTATCACATGTGTATTGTCTTACTTCGCACTCCCATGTGGGTTGGTGGGCCGCGTCAGTAAAGTTCATCCGCTTCTCCCGAGCGTCTCATCTTCCTTGCGCGCGCCCATACACATACACACGGAGATAGGTTCGCCTTGGCTTCCTTGACCTGTTTAGCAATCATTGTTTGCCCTTACAGGTTTTGCTGTTTTGTTTCTGATCCGGGTCCAACAGTTTACTTTTTCTGTCCCTCGTGTCCTTCTGCTAGCCATCTTCCCATCCACCTGCATAGAACCCGGTGGTGCGCCGACTTCTAAACCCTCTCGTTCCAATCCGCCCTTGTCACATTTCCACACTCCAAAGTACAACTCTCAACCCAAGCGACCGGCGGGTGCGACTAAGTCAGGGATGAAGAAGCCTAGTTCGAATTCCTGGTACTCCTTCAAACCTCCTCCTTCGGATGCTCGAGCGGATAACAGTTCTTCTCGGTTCATTTCCTCGTTGAATCCCGTTTCCAGTGACCTGAAACGTACCAAGGAAACAACGGCTTGTGCCAAGGTCTCGCAGGACCCACGGCAGCTTGCTAACCATTCCTCTCAGTCAGACTTCCGGGAGGAGTTGAAACGGCGTCTGCAACAGCAGCATCAGCCCTTAAATAAATGCACCGAATCCTTTCAGGACCCAGTTTGCGATAAGTTAAAAAACGGCAAGTCTACCTCCAAACTAGTCAGTTCTGTGTCGAAATCAAAGTCAGATTGTCAAGAGGTTACCTCCTTCGGATCTTGTGGCTTTTTCACGATGCCCCGTTTGAAACCCTCCAAGCTCAGTTCTGCTGTTGCCACTGGAACTTCGTCATCCAACTCATGTAACGCGCAGGACTGCTCTTCTAGTCTAACCCCTTCCAAATCCAATATCCCTTCCCGTTTACCAGTCGTCTGCACCCATCCCAAAGCGACTTCATGTAGCCAGGACCCTCAATCTCCCCCACCGTCTTCCACTTCGGTAGTCTCTTCGCCAAAACCAACTAAACATGATGTGAACCATAAACGTTTAAGCTGGACCGGTCCTCCGGTGCATCCAACCGGGGGCGCTCCACCGTTGCATACGTTTCGGTCTTGCTTACCAACCATCTCTGCGTCGTCCACTCTGTTGGACAAGGTGGATGACGATGAACCAAACTCCACTCTGTCTGAAGCCTCTTTGCTCGCGCAGTTAAAGCAGGTGTCCTGTGTGTTAAAACGGTTGAATTCCTTCACGCGACAGACCGCAAAATCCTCTTCAGACATAGAGCAATTGATCGCCGTGGCTGACCAACTAGAAGCTTGTCGGCTGGATTGCTCACTGTTTATCGATCGGGCAGAATGTTCCGCTCGCGCTAAATTTAGCTTCCGAGATCGTTACGCTCCGTTACAATCTTTGAGTACTTCCCTTCGTGCTAAAAAATCAGGGGACGACCGGTCCGTGGTACTCAAATCGGCTATTGTCGCTGTGAATGATCTCATCTCCGAGCTGGCGAAATTGTCTACTCACGTCAATTCTGAATCGTCCGACGCAGGCCTCACAGAGAACACATCTAAAATTTCCTTGACACCAGTCGGCCCTCAAAACACGGTTGCGAGTTCGCTGACCACTCAACCAGCCGGCCCGGTGACGGTTGCCAAGGTTAGAGCGAAGGTGTCCTCGTGTAGCTGATCGTGAATCTGTGCGCGCCTTCCGTTGCACCTTCGTGCGGCATTTTATCTTCTCTTGCCCTTGTACAGTCGTCCAACCTCTTACCTCATCAAAACCAACTGATCTCTTTTTCTAGAACATTTTCAGTCCCCATACAGTCACATCAAGTAAATACTTTTTGCACTAATAATCGCCAGTTTTTCGTGTGCAGTTACGGTCCGCATGCAACTCTTGCATTTGGGCCATTTTTGCACACTGGATTGCTCACTGTCATTTCTGCGATACTTCAAAGACCAGTGGAATCGTTTCTTTTCGTTGTTATTTTGATTACTAATTGAGCGCGCATCTCGTCCCCCTCCGCACAATCCGAGATCTTTTGTTTTAATTGTCATAGTTTATTTTTGTCTTGTGACGTTGGTTAGATTTTTTATCTTGCTCCTCCTCTCCTATCTCATCGTGGTTTTTCCTTCACTCTCCGCCAGCCAACCATTTTTGTTGTTTTCGCGATTTTGTCAGGTTCTAGTTTTCATTCGGCTCACAATGCATTCACTCAAATCGCCTGTGTCTGGCGCTGTTAAACTTCCGCTGGCGGTCACTCAACAGAGCATTTAAGCTTATTTTATTACGTGAGTGTTCTCGCGTAAATTCGCCCAATCAGCGGTAGATCGAACTCACTTAGTCTATCCACGCGTAGTCTTTGCTTTATGGGTTTCAAGCTCACGATTAGCTTACCTTCGAGTTCTGATCTAGATCGGTTGTAGCAGAGTTCTCATTCCATTTAAAGTATCCTGTTCATGTCAGTAAGACTCGCATCAGTCTGCAAGTACTGAATAGAATCCAGAGGATAAGTTTTTCCCTATTGGCGGATTGTACAGCGCGACGGTTCTGTGAGCGTCATTTACTGGTGGGATCTCAAATGCCAAGTGTGTTCAAAAAGAAAGCAAGCTTTTGGTATTACCTCTTTGTTGCTCAGTGTACGACATTTTAAACACTATCCCCCCTCAAGGTAATCTCCTCTACTAACAGTATCCGTCCTCAACGGTGTTTTCGTTGTTTAAACAACCTTCTTGAACACTGTTTCTGGAATGGCTGGTCGGTCTCTTCGCATTGTCTTGAATCTCCTCTATATTTGGGAAGTGACATTCTTTCCGCATGGCTTAATTTTTGGAAGCAGGAAAATGTATGCTAGGGCTAAGTCCAGAGAATAGAATGTACGAGACACCATGAGAGTTTTTTTTGTTTGATAGCTATGAGCACGAAACGATACGTGAGCGGCGCATTGTCATGATGCAACGTCCAATTCTGCTTTTCTCACAATTCAGGCTCATTCCTACGCACAGCATCTATAAAGCGCGATAGAATTCCCGTGATAGACTTCCTTGTTTACCGTCTGACCACGTGATGCAAATTCTTGATGGACCATGTCGATGTCAACTAAATTAAATCACTGTATATCAATTGGTACATTTCAAACGCATGTATTATGCACATACTTTAACATTTTGCGAAGATGTCTCTTCATTTTTTCTCATCGAACGATTACATTTATGGGAGAGAATCGGGCAACACAGTAAGCTACTGAAAACTGAGTTGAAGACTACACAGTCACAAGCATTTTAACAAGGTCAGTAAATTGGGTGATTATTTCATTGGGGGAAACCTTGCAGTAGTTGCTACACTGCCAGTGTCCGACAGCTGCGAATTGCCGCGGGGCCAGGGCGAGCGGAGGTATTGCACCAGAGCCTCCTGCTTATACCATTCAGACTGGGTCAGTCTGGTAGAAACCGCTTTATCGCATTCTAGAAACGCTTTCTGGATTAGACGGAGTAGAAAACTTCTAAAGCATCCTGATTTCCTGCTCACTTTGGAGCTACTGCTTCATGTCAGAATGCTTGATGCTTCTGGCCTGGCCTCTTCTTGGCCACCTTGGACACTGTTCTGCCACTCGTTTTAACAAACATTTGGTGGCGTGTGTACCACCTGTACAAGTAAATCGATTCCTAATGTGCGATTTGGACTGAACCGGGAGTCAGTCTTTGACACGTCGGGTAACAAAGGGTGTAGTTTGCGCAGGCACAAGCGAGTAGACGATTGGTTAGGTTTTGGCCACTGCAAATCAGACTATTCACCTCAGTAAGTCAAGGCGTCATTGCTTTTGAATGGAACTGAGAGAAATGCGTTTTGTTTGGTAGTGCCATGATGGATTCTACGGACACACGGATCTCTACGTGCTTTCGGATAAACGGGAAAGGGTATCCATTCTCTTGCACCACTCTTTCACCCAGCGACTCTGGGCTACAGAATCTGACGAACTAAGTTCCGTCTGTGCTGCAGAGATTCTGGAACTTACGTCCATCACTGAGGATCGGCTGCAGTTTACAGATATAATCCACCCTATCGGGTAACACTATACCGGATCTCTTGTCCGGCCAAGACAATTACTTCGTTGTTTAACCGTAACTCTTCAATTGACTGAATTTGCTTCATTGAAGTAATACCACTGCCAGATGGTTTAGCCGTAACGTATTCATGACAGCTATTCACTAGTCTAGATTTTAGGTTCTCAACATCACTAGAAAATGTTAGAAACTGGTCTCTAGTCTGTGCCATTAGGCTTTCAAACTGCACCTCTAAGGTTGCCTGATCTATTTGCTTACATGGAATACAAAACTTGGGGCCAAATGATAACGCCTCCAGCTGTGTCAGGCTTACAGTGGGAAGCTTAAACACATACCGTTCCGCGGTTATTCGGATACGTCAGTTGTGGGACCTGGTTGTTAAGCGTACTAGGTAATTTGCTTCGCTTCCTTACTTTCATGTTCAGCTTAAGCGAATCCACTTATATCTCAAAAGGCTGTGTCAAATCTTCAGACAACCCTAAAAACACTGGAAAACTTTGCGAAATGAATATCTTCATCTCCGACGGTTTAACGCGGATGGTATCCACATACTTGAGTGTATGTCTACAAAGTTTTTGCGTTTGGGTAGAGGCCACATCTCCGTATCTCTCGCCAAAAGTGTTTTGGATAGCGACTTGCTTGCACGCATTCATTGAGAAATTTCAATTCAAGCCTGGATTCCTCCGACCGAGTACTGACCTTCAGATATTCATACAAAATCTTCAACGAATCACGGGCGATGCTGTTCTTCAGCAAAGCAAATACTCCCATTTCATCTACCTGCATCATGAACAGAAATCAGGTAAGGCTTAAGAATTTTCTTCGGTAAACTCCCATCAGACCCAAACGTTTACCTAATGCTTATTGTGTAGGGTAAGCGTCAAATCGGGCTGGTATTGATTTCTAAGGGGTTTGAACGGTCAAACTCAGAGAATACAGGCGGCTACAGACGGTAAGCAAAGTACACCAAAGGAACATTCGTACACAAGCCTCATCAGTCTAAAGTAAATTGGTAAGATCACAAAGGGGAACTAAGTAACCATGTCAGTCGGCCACGATCATATTTGAATATTTCCCTGGCCCGTACATAATGATACCCTCTGATTACCTCTACCATCACTACATTTATAGTGCCTTTACTGTTTACACTAAGCACACTTGAAGCCAACCTCTCATCATCCACTGACGACTATATTCCACGTGATAACTGCTTCAATTTCCGCAGCGTATACAACTATCGGCCACTGCCGATTTCATGCATAGCAGTGTGTCTGTTGCGAAACATAACTGTTGTTATTTTAGATCAGCCTGATTTGGTGTGCCTCGATACATTCGAGAATACTTTATTTATTTATGAAGCGTTTATGTACACGTAATTCCGGCTTCAGATGGTGGATGTAAATAGCTTTGGCAATAGACATGATATGTTTTCGGAATTCTTGCGAGAAGCGTTCAGGTAGTGAGTAGATGATCTTAAAATCATTCTCAGATACGGTATGGTCACATTCGAGGATGTGTGACATCATTGGGCTGTTTGAGGACTTCATTTCGCCTTTGTAAAATCACGCCGGGATGTGTTCGCGGATCCTTTGGGATAGGCGTTTCGTTGTGCCTCCCACAGGAGCACGAGTACTGATAAACGAGCATTGAACGGGTCAACGAGGACAGACTATGTTTCTAGGGAGAGCTTCAATTCGCAAAGGTTTCCAGCGTTGTTAGGTTTGTCTGAGGATCTGACACAGCCTTTTGAGATATAAGTGGATTTGCTTAAGCTGAACATGAAAGTAAGGAAGCGAAGCAAATTACCTAGTACGCTTAACAACCAGGTCCCACAATTGATCTTTCTGAATAACTTCGGAACGGTATGTGTTTAACCTTTCCAGTGTAAGCCCGACACAGCTGGAGGTGTTATCACTTGGCCCCAAGTTTTGTATTCCATGTAAGCAAATAGATAAATAAATTTGTATATTTACCGACAGACGGTACACGGCCTCATAAGTGAGGCGCAGTTTGAAAGCCTAATGGTACAGACTGGAGACCTGTTTCTAAAATCTTCTAGTGACGTTGAGAACCTAAAACCTAGTCTAGTGAATAGTTTTCATGAATACGTTACGGCTAAACCATCTGGCAGTGGTATTACTTCAATGAAGCAAATTCAGTCAATTGAAGAGTTACGGTTAAACAACGAAGTAATTGTCTTGGCCGGACAAGAGATCCGGTATAGTGTTACTAGATAGGGTGGATTATATCTGTAAACTGCAGCACATCCTCAATGAGGAACGTAAGTTCCAGTCGCTTGTGTCTGTAAAGAATAACACAGGGGAGTTGCAGAAGCAGTTAACCAGCTGCCTCAGGCTATTGATGTAAGCTGAAAGTATTACCAAGACCGAATTCGAAATGTTGAAGCATTCAGGTGGACGCTTACCGGGAGTATATGGTCTTCTTAAAGTTCACAAGGAAGGCGCCCTAACTCGTCCAGTCTTGTGTATGATGGGTTCTCTCCAGCATTGTTTGGCCTAATGATGGGGAACAAATTGCAATCGTTGCGGGTTGTGGTTTTTCACTTACTGAGTGAGAGACACCTTCGAGATAATTTGGAAGATATCCGGACTCAACTTTGCT